GCACCATACCTACAGGCTGGAGAACTCCCTTCTCGTCAGTGCAGAGGCAGAAAAGGATCTTGGAGTCATCATTGATGCCATGATGAACATGGGCCAGCAGTGTGGGGATGCAGTCAGGAAGGCCAACTGCACCTTGTCATGCATCCACAGATGCATCTTGAGCAGGTCCAAGGAGGTGATCCTCCCCCTCTGTGAGGCACTGGTCAGGCCGCAGCTGGAGTACTGCGTCCAGTTCTGGGTGCCACACTTCAGGAGGGATGTGGACAACATGGAAAGGGTCCAGAGGAGACCACGCACATGATCGGAGGGCAGTAGGGCAGGCCCTATGAGGAGAGGCTATGGGACTTGAACCTGTTCAGCCTCCACAAGAGAAGGCTGAGGGGGGATCTAGTGGCCTGTTACAAACCAGTCAGGCACTGGGGGAGTCCCTGTTCCCCTGAGCACTACCCAAAGTAACATGGAACAACGGCCACAAGTTGACTGAGAGTAGGTTCAGGCTGGACATTAGGAAGCGCTAGTTCACAGTCAGGGTGGCTAGGATCTGGAACCAACTTCCAAGCAAAGTGGTGCTGGCTCCTACCCTGGAGGTCTTTAAGACAAGGCTAGACAATCACCTTGCTGGGGTTGTTTGACCCCAGTACTCTTTCCTGCCCATGGCAGGGGGTTGGACTTGATGATCTGCTCAGGTCCCTTCCGACCCAACCAACTATGAAACTATGAATCAGCAAATCGAATCACTGTCCCCCAAATGAGGCTGAATCTGAATCCGAATCGAATACGGCCCACTTTGCACATCTCTACTGCCCACAGTAGCCACCAGTATTATAGCTCCAGGGCACTAGGTGGCAGGCAAGCTAGTTTGCATTGAACAAACAGCTACCCAGCATGAAAGTGAAGAGGCAACAAGATGTACAACGTTTTCTACAGCAGTGGTCACCAACAGGTCAATCGGGATCAACTGGTGGATTCTGGAGCCTCTTGAAGTCGATCCTAGGCTGCGGGGCTGAGTGTGTGTGCACCAACCCCCCAAGCCCAGCAGGTCAGTTGGTGGGAGACAGAAAGAGCGGAGGCCCGAGGGGCACATGCAGCAGGGCTCGATGCACAAAGCAGCATGCCTGGGAGCAATAAACTCCATAGCAATAAGCTCCAGGTTTCATTGCTTCACATTAATTGCCTGTGTAGATGCACCTAAGGATATTTAGACTAGATAGTAAAAAGCAGTTGCTATTTATGCAGTTGGCTAAGCACTGAAGCAGATTATGCAGACAGGTAAAATCTCTATTGTTGCAAGTTTTTAAGTGCAGATCAGATATTATTTGCCTGGGATGGTTTAGACAGAGATAATCTTGAGCAGGGACTTGGACTATACCACCTCAAAAGGCCCATGTTAGAAAACGTTCTGAAAATCTCAATTTACTGTCTGGGGGAAAAAAGGAAGAGAAGGGAGAATAAACCCCATCTTGCAGAGATATTAAAAAACTAAATTTGTAAATATATGTAAAATATTCAAAGATCCACAGAAGTAGGAAGTGCTATTATTATTCTACAACACACAGTCTACAGCATATTTAGCAAGTTATGAAGCCTCAGTAATATAAGGGCTGACCACATCCTTCTGCTTTTAAATTGTTGCTGAGGAGAGAGAAAACTGTGTGAATTCTGAAATATGTGACAAAGAGGTTTTACTATACTTTTTTTTTTTTTTTTTAAATCAAGGACAGATTTTTAATGTTGACAGTGGTTACCACTGATAGCCAACCTCTCTTTGTGCCTATTCATAGAGAATAAAATAATTGCAATATATTCCATCTCCACCAATTCAGAAAAGTAAGCTAATCGACTCAACATGAAGATGTGCTTTTAGAACTAACTTTTTAAAAAGTATTTCCTCCACATATTACAAAACCATTTAAATACTAAATGTGTTTTAGAATATTATAGTGCTACCTATCAGTATTATATGCCAGTACTGTCCGCATAAAACCAAGAGCAACAGCAAAGTCTCTCAGGAACTCTAAGACTCTAAGGAGTCTTTAATAAGATTCTCAATTACCTCCATTTTGGAAGAAAAACCTACTCGGATATTTTTTGTTTTGTTTTGATTTGATTTTTTGTTGGTTGTTTGGACATTAGCTTGGCAATTTTTTAGAGGTTTTTTTTTTTTTTTTTTTTTATTTA